AATAATGATTATCTTTTTTCTAAAGAATCATGTTTGACAAACATAATAAGATCTATTTGTTATTGATTATATTAAAATATCTTGATTACTTTAGTGAATTTGTCGAACTATACTCTTGAAGATTGTTTGAATCTGCAAAGAGATTTTTTGCATATGCAGACCTTTCTGTTAATGACTTGACTTTTCAAGCCATGTGGTACCTCTATATAGCTTATTCTTCTAGTTCTCTATCAACAAAAGAATTATTCACATCTAGTTGGAATAGTAGCCAATCTAAATTGGTAGCTAGAACATTAGTATTCAGAATGTGTTAAGTTTTGTTACTAATACAAAAGAATCCTGATAATCAATTCTATAGGATTTGATAAAGTCTTTGACTACTAATTGAGCTTTGAACCTGTTGATGCTACCATCAACATTATGCTTGATTATAAACATCCATTTAGAACTGACTAAGCATTTCCCATGTGGTAATTTTGCTTCCAAGTCCCATTCTTTTCTAAGAGTTGGATTTCCTCCATGATTGTAGTTTTCCATTTGAGTACTCTTAATGCTCCAAGTATCGTCCTTAGAATTTGTATCTTATCAATATTGCCAACAAATACCTAATGAGTTGATGACAAACCTTTATATGAAACAAAATTGTGAATTGAATGGTCAATGATTGCTCTTTATTGCTTTGTTAGAGCAATAAGTTTATCATTATACAGATTATCAAGGGAGAGATTTGAACATGGGTTGCCTAAAGTATTCGGTAATACTGGATCCTATATCTAAATTGGATTTATAACTATGATCAAGTGGTTATGACTCTTTCTCTGGATTTATAACTATGATCAGGTGGTTATGACTCTTTCTCTTCTTAATTCTTGTTCCTTTTGAATGTAGACATGAAGTTCAAGTTTTTTAGTGTGGCGAGCAGGTTTAAGTCCAAGTGTCTCATCTTGATATATGTGTTCTGAAGACTGAATAAGTTTAACTAGAGGAGAATGATTATATTTAGTATAGAGTCTCAAAATTGGAATTCTTGTGTATTTTTCTTTCTCTAAATGCCAATTTAGTATGATCGATTTTCATGAACGGTAACATCCATAGAGCTATAGAACTTTCGAATGACTAATGAATAACACTGATATCCCTTTTGGTTTGATGAATATCTAATAAAGATGCATTTTATTGATTTGGGATCTAGTTTGCTTCTCGATGCTTGTATATGTGAATAAAAACTAAACAACCAAACACTTTGATAGGTATGATAGACAGAAGTCGAGTGGTAGGAAAATACTGGAGCATAATTTAGTAGGGTATTTGAAACTCAAGGACCCAAGAAAATATTCTATTGATAAGGTAAGTTGCAATTAGAACAACTTCTTCGTAGAAAAATCTTGGAACTTAAGTTGCAAACATGAAGGACTGGGCAACTTCCAAGAAGATGTTTATTTTTTCTTTTGGCTATCCCATTTTGTGAAGGGTACAACACATAAACTTTGATGAACAATCCTCTCTTTTTTAAGATACATAACTGACTATTTTTGAAAGTATTCTTTGCATTTTTTATCTTCAACACTTGTATTTTTTGTTTACAATTGAGCTTGGACTATGTTGAATTTTCTGATATATGGTTAATTTCTGATTTTTCTTTTATGAGGAATAGTTATATAATTTTTATATAATCATCTAAAAAAGATATAAACGATTTATTACTAGTAATAATGTGATTCTAGATGATCTCCGTAAGTCACTATGTATCATAGCAAATTGTTTCGGTAACATGAAATATGTGAAACGAGTATGCCTTGATAATTTACATACATCACAATGAAAATTTTTCTGATTTTTGTTTCTGAATAAAGAAGGAAACAATTTTTCAAGGTATGCAAAATTTGGGTGTCCAATCAATAATATCATAACATAATTGTATTACGATCGTCTAACTAAGTCGGACTATCTTGAGATTCAACACATATTGTATTATGGGATTGTATCCTGAAAGATCCATTATCTTTGAAGAGAAAGAACACCAAGTACACCTTAACATTGTTAATCGTTTTCCTCAAATCCAAATCTTAAAATTCACATAAATTTGAGGAAAATTAAGTAGTACAGTTATGATCTTGAGTAAGTTTGCTTACTGATAAGAAGTTACAATCCGAATTAGGTATATGAAGTACTCCCTTTAAGGTCAACTCTTTTAAGATGAGAATATTATCTATTCTGCCCACTGTTGAGTGAGATCCATTAGCTGATTTTACGGTGAGATTCTCACTACATGGATTATATTTTTGGAATAATATTTTATTTCTCGTTATGTGGTCGAATACCTTTAAGTTAATGGATCCAATTATCTTATCTTCCTTAAATACCACTAAAAGCATTAAAGAAATTACTTTCTTAGACTGTTGTCCTAAATTCTATGTTATTATTGATGGAAGTTTGGTGTAGAAACATTTTTTGGAGGGTTTCTATTTGCTCTTTGTTGAATTGGCATGATTCTTTAGTGAAGACAACTTCATCAATAGAGACATGATTTCCCATACTTATTTATCTGTACTTAATTTTGTAATCTTCAAATCAGCTTGTTTTTCATAAATTTTCCAACAATTATCTCAAGAGTGACTTGGTTTTCTATAATAATCATACCAAGGTCTTCCCTTTCTTCATTGATTGTCTGAGTTGGGATAAGGGCCCCAAGTAGCCAAGGTAAAGTTTTGCTCAATAGTTGAGCTTGTGAATCCATCTCCCAACATCACATTTTTCTGTTTTTTTCTCTAATTTGAAAATTATATCATTGATAGTATGTAATGGTTTCATTTCAAGTATTGTTTTCTAAATTTCATCTATATTTTATTCAATGCTATGAGAAATTTAAAAGTTCTTTTTTTTTTCCAAAATTTCACTGCTCTATTTTGTATCATCTGGATAGGTCAATGCAAGTGCCTCAAACACATTGAGTTGTTGCCAGTAACGGTGAGCATACTGTAGTATTATGTTATCGATAAATTTCCTTATCACAAATCGTGGAGGCTAGATTTAGTGACAAAAATTTCTGATGTGTTTTCTTTGTTCAAGTAAAACTCATTGGTTGTTTCCTCAATTTCATATATTTATCCCGTACAACAAGAAGTTCTCACCGGTGACATTTTTCATGGAGTTCATTAGCCACAACATGACCAAATTATTCTCGGTCTTCCAAGTTTGGAACTTTGGGTTACAGTGCTCGGTTAGGTGACTTTTCTAGTAAGGTATTATTCTCTCTCTCTTCTACAGATAAACATCCTGATCAATTAAGATGAATGAATATAGTTGCTTTTATTTATCTTGTGACTGGTGATTGGAGTTTGAGTGGCTTTCGATTCGGGTTGTTTGATGAAAATAATTCCATCAAATTGAGATGTGACTTCAAAGAGGTCATTGGTTCTTATTGTTGATCATTTCATATTTGTTATTGGCAAGAGAGAAAAAGGTAATTTTTGTATTTATGTTTCTACTAAAATTCTCTCTGATCTTCTTTTATATATTTTTAACTATTGTAAATTAAATATCATAAATTAAAATTCAATAAATAGAAAAATTTAATTAAAAATTTTTTCTAGTATCAAAGTAGGATCTTTGAACCCCAAAAGAACTATTTTTTTTCTTGTAAAATTTCTAGTTATGGAAGTCGGCTATAATTCTGCTTTATAAGGTAATTTTTCTGTAGAGAGTAATCTGTATAGGAATTGGACTTCTACAAGAAGTTGTATTCCTACAATATGCTTATCTTCTAGTTCTCATGTTTAAGGCCTAAATTCACGAGGTATATGATAGTGGCACATGCAGCAAATAATTAGTTGACAATATGATGATGTAAATGGTCCATAGGAAGAAAAAGAGGGAAAAAAAAGAAGCAAAAAAGTTTAAAAAAAAAATATAACAGACTAATCATATACTAATCAGCAACATGACAAATACACTAGAAAATTTTTTTGAAGACTGTAATTATATATCAACAAAGGCAACAAACATAAAACAATAACTCAAGCTGCAGTATCTCCTAGGAGAAAGAGATACAGATGCATATTTATGAAAGTTGTTGGAAGTAAGCATTTATAAATAACATGGTGGGTCAACATCCAATGTATGTAAAAGTAAAAACAGAAAATTTTAACTTTCAAGCATTAATAAAAAAAATTGGTATCACGTATTGGAAAACAGATAAAAGTGTGGTTTTATTACCCACAATGATGACAAACAATATAAATAATATCAAATGAAAAGTAAGCTAAAACATCCAAATAATCGGAACAGAAACTCACGTCATCAAAAACCAGTTGTGTAGGAGAGCTCTGGTCTCAATAAACATAACAGGAGAAAGTGCTAAGCATATAACCAGGTTGCGCCAATCCATCCTCTTGTGAAATTCGTTACTCAGGCAAAGGAAAGGCATGGTTACAGCATCTTGCAAAATTTTTGAAATATCATGCTGCAGAGACGCTGGGTCAAGATACCAGAACAGCAGCCTGGTTAAAATTGAAATAAAAATAATTATTAAAAATTATGGAAACAAGAGAAATAAAATCAACTTACCATTGAGAAATGCCTTGAAGAAGGGTATTACTGAGATATACATCTTAGAATAAAGGGCCTGGTGCTGGTGAATGAGTAACAAGGGTAAGGCACACAGGCCTTTCTTATTGAATTTGTTTCCAATTCCTACTTTACTCAACATAACATAAGGCTAAATATATATCAGAGGTTCCACAGGAAACTATTGAAGTTATTAACAACACACACCTCAGTGGTATTTCATGGTTTTGGAGGGAGCATTCTCTTGGCAAATGGCAATGAAGCTTTGAAAAAGCAACACTTCTTTCATCAACTTCTTTTTCTTCAAGAGTTGGTGGAAACTGGAAAGAGAACTGGCAGAAAGAAGTGGAAACTGCTACTCTTACAACAGCATGTAACAGCGAGCTAGCCAGTACCTCTACAATGCGCATATAAGTCATTAAATCAAGATGAAGACAATCATTTTAACACAATACTAGAGCGTTTGAACAGCAAATCAGAATAGAAAAGTGACAAGAATAGCTAAATAATGAATAGAATCAGATGATAAAGATTTCATTTGAACCTATTCAATATCATTGAATATTACATGAAAATTCTAAGGAACACAAAAAATACCCACCATGTCCCTCTAGTTTTTGTATAACAGCGTTACACATTTCTATCAATTTCAGGCAATCACGAGGCAAAATTGAGCTACCAATCTGTAAAGTTTCTTCATTTTCAAACATGAGCACCTCGCAGCTAACGGAAGAATGCAACACAGTAACAATCGTCTTCACCAGATAATCAATCGTTGAACCAAAAACCTAACTTATAAGTAAGTTGCAAAATTAAAATGGTAAGAAGCAGAATATCTCGGAAAAAATAGAGCCTTTTCAAGAATATATCATAGAACTGACCTGGGGTGCTTTGAAGCACATAAGAGAGAGTAAAGTGTCCAAGACCCTAACACTTGAATCTTTGCAAAGGTTAAGAGATTGATTGAGCTTTGAAATTGAGAGATTAAGAGATACTTCTTCTTTCCCTTCATCGACTATCGATTTGGGTTTTAGGGTTTGGAGATTGGAAGCAAGCCTAGAGAAGAGATCTGCTATTTCTGGTAAGGTCGTCATGATAGTCAGACGGCGATGGCTTGATTGATGGGTGGTTATATAACAGATGCGAGATTTCCCGCCAGAAGTAAATTGCTTTTAAGGAAATTTTTCATTTTAAGAAATTGTTTCCAAGGATTTTTAGTGGGCTTGTGTTGACCTAAGTAGGCCCAGTAGCTTGAATTTTAGGATAGGATTGGGAGTATAGAATCTTGGCCCATTGACATCAATTGTTTCCAGGGTATGTTTTTGAGAGTGTACAGGGTAAATATGTAACAGTGAGAATTATTGTTCTTATCCACATTAGCATAGTAGAATTATGCAAGACATATAGAATATTCTATAAATGTTGTGAAAAAAATACTCTCTTACCATAAACAAGTTTATTGATAAGGGAAATAGTTGTATGCCAGTAAGGATTGCTATACTCATAAGAAAGAGAATATACGTGTCACTTATGATGAAAAATTGTCATCATTAAATAAATTTATTACTTATTGAAGTAATGATTTGCCTAAAAATGGGCGAACCGATATATTACCCGGCTATCTATCTTTAGAATAGACAAAAATCTAAATTTAATGGATTATGAGACAAGTATGGGTAAAAGGTTCCAAACCAAAAATGAATTTTGGGCTGAGTATAAATTTAGTAATATACTTGACCAGTCTTATCTTATATATATATATATTGTAACACCCCATCCATCACTGTACTTAATTAATTTGAAAAATTCTATTTATTTGAGATTTTAGCCTGCATTGAATTCATTTAATTTACACTGCATATTATTTATTATAATTCTGAATTTTGCTTATTCTCAATTAATTTTGATTTTATTTAATTTTAATTATTTCTATTTAATTCTAATTTAATTGCATTAATTTTATTTATTTTATTTTACTAGAATAAAATAAAATTTTAGAAAACAAACGGCGAAACAAGAAAACAATCCCACGAAAAAATCTCGTGGGTAAGGGGAGTTGCCCACGCAGGATGCTTGTGCACTGTGCGCGCGAGCATAGCAGGCATGGGACATACACATAGTACGAACGTCCCATTTGCGCGCACGGCGCGGGGTCAGACCCTGCGCGTGTCCTATCGCACATAGGTGGGCCGTTCACGCGCTAGCCTACAGCGTGTCGGGAGGGATATTGCTGCCTCTAGCAGTGCGCCGCCGTCGCATCAGGCAGCACGCTGCACACAGAGGAAATTTTTCTCCCTCATTTCTCATGCTGAACATCTTTTTCTTCTCTTTCTTCATCGATTTTTGCCATTTGGGCGAATATGATGATTCCTGATTTCTATAAATAGGTCTTCCCTTCCCATTCTTCTCCACACTTCCATTCTTCCCTTTTTTCAAGTATTAGAGAGAGAAAGAGAGAGAGAATGAGGGAAAGAAAAGAAAAATGGTGAATGAGAAAATATCAAGTTTCGGTAAGGAATTTAGTATTTCTTTCGATATCTTAGGAGTATTTTTAAATAAAAAAAATCATTAAATGCGATAATTGTGATTTTTTCTGTTTTCCATGCTTTTATGTTTATAGGTCTAATAAGCTGAACTGTTCTTGTTTTCAAGTATACTATATGATTTATAGACACTTAATAATTTCATGTAATAAAAAAATAATATGAAGTCGGTATTGTTACCTGAAAAAAATAAAGACAAAGAGAAAAGTAGAATGAAGCATGAATGGTCTAAAATATATATCTGTATTGACATGCATAAGACATCAAGTGTCTCGTTAGCTTTTTATCTCTGAAGCGTATCTGTTTCTTCCTCCCCCATCTGGTCTGAAAAGATGTAAGAGGACTGCTATCTGTGGATGAGGTGTACCCTCTAACGAGAATGGTTACGCAAATATCTGTTAGGGGTCTCCTTTGGCTAAGTACTATTGTGACTGTAGATATCTGATAAGACCACTATGGTTGATATGACCGTGGCCGTAGATCGTACCATGATTTAGCTAATCGAAATTGTGCTTGAGTAAATTACCGTTATTTATATATGATTTGGTCATTTCATATGAGTAGTTAGAAATCTGTATCTACCTTCAAAGATAGAAGTCATAACAACTTCATGAAGCATGACACGAAAATCTGAGCATTTCAAGATTTATATAATTTTTTCTATTATTTGGCATGATGTATATTTGTTTGATTATATTAATATATTGTTTTCCTAATAAATAAATTATTTTCATAATATAAGATAGGCCTACGAAGTAACCAAATAGTAAGTATTTATGTTAGAATAATTCACCTTTAAAAGCTTACGATATTATTTAAATATTATTATTTTTACTGAGCATATGAAACCCACTCTTTCCATGCCCCCCCTCCAGATGAGGAAAAAAATGAGGAACTGCAAGTTAACCTACCCACTAAAGTTTATGAGGATCCTGTGGATCAACAAAACTTGAGTGTATGATTGTTCCCACACTTTGATGAGTCCAATAGCATAGTAAAAGAAGTGACGTTCTTTTGTATTTTGACCTTGCATTTTGTAGCTACATTTGACATCAGTTATATGTATGTAATTGCAAATCATGTATATTTGTAAAGGATTTGTATTAATTTTTTGCTATATAAAATTTAATTATGCAATTGTTATTCTGTTTCTATATCTGACACCCATTTGCATTAATTAGTATTTGAGATATCACATATATGATTGATAATATTTTAATTTTATTTTTAGTGCTGCTCAAATTGATTAAATTTTAACTAATTAATGTTTAAATTTATATACTTATAATGTTATTTATATTTAATTTAAATATCATTTTTAATTATATTTTGTTTTGATTAACAATTAAGAATTTTCAATTAAGTTTTAATTAATTATTTGAATATTTAGTAAAGTTTTTTAAAGTTAAAAACCAGGTGAATAAGGTGAGTGGTAGGTAAAAAGTTTTATCTGTGATGGTAAAACATTTCTACCTATTTCAGGTATTTTACAAAGGTAGATTTATATTTTTGCTAGTTTGACATGTATGGGATAGATGGACGAGTATGGAAATGGGCATACTTGGTTGTAGTCATTTTGTGTCCATATCTAGATTTGCCTTTTATAAAAGGTAGGACTACATAGTCTTAGAGTTATTTTCTTCAACTTATCATACTTTCTAAATCTACTTTTATATTATAATGCTTAAACATTGCAAGTGTTAAATTGATCGCTAAAGTAACATTTATTGGAAACATTATGAGCCTTTTTTTATTAGTTTCGGGTTTAAAAAGAAATCACCAAGGTAAATAAATGATTAACTACGGTTACTTATGTTGATTATCGATCTTTAAACTATGAAAAAAGAGTTAACCTGATGCAGAACCTAGGATCAACCAATATTATAAAAAATCTTAAAATACAATCTAGCATAAAAACTTAATTCCAAAACAAATCCTTTCTACTTAACCCACAATTAATTTGTGATTGAGAACTAAGATAGTTGGGAATAAGAAATAGAATTGAAAAGACGTCATGAGATTATCTCGATAAATAGATTCAATTCTTGACTTAACGAGACAGTTGAAGAACCTTCCCAAGTAACATTTACAATAGCTAAAAGTAATGCAAAATAAACTAAATTTTATTAATTTTAAAAGTGATAATTATAACCAAATGAGTAAGGCCTTTATATCGGCTAACTAGTTCTACTTGAATTCAAAAACTAAATCTTACAAAAACTCTAATTAAATTCATATTAAGGAAACTATTAAAATATGGATTAAAAGAAACATAGACATAATAGGAATTAAAAGTCTTCTCTTTTGAAGAGAAGGTGGAGTTATTGTCGAATTCTTTTTGCTTCTCTTACTTGGATTTGTACTCCAATATTTAATTAATTTGTGTTGAAGAAGTTGAGTTGAAGATGCTTTAAAATTTCTCCCAATTGTAGTAGAAATCAAACACTATGCCATGAGATTTTTTAAGGGGGAATTTGGTTAAAACTAGGAATTCCATCTCTTGTTTAGCTTTCTTTTCTCCTTTATGATTAAAACTCTTTAATTAATTAATTTCTTGAAGTAGGAAATCCTCTTGGAACTATAGAATTTAAATCCACTCCAAGACATTTATTGCCGTAAATCCTAGTCCAAAAAAGACTCCCATTGCCAATCTTAAAAGAGAAAAGATATATGAGAGCAAAACTCTCAAAGGACAGGGTTACCGTGTGGGCAACACTCTTCTTTTCCCCTAACTATCAGTCACACATGCGAAAAAGGGGATTCACTTGTGGTCGTCTATGTTGCAAACTCCCAATGCTGAATAGACCTTTCCTTGCTTCCTTGTGGGCCTCTTTCTTGGATTAAAACCCCATCTTCTTCATTAATCCACTCTTAAATGCATAATTGAAAGGCATATTTGAGCTTTTTGGTTCTTGATCTTGTGATTGATCCATTAGGCATCATAATTGCTTTCCTAAGTAGTCCAAGTTCATCATCTTTCATGTTTATTCCTTGAGGTTGCCATTGGAGTTTTAGGTAAAGACCGCGACCCTCCTCATTCTCACAAGATTCCTCTTCTATGTCATGAGATTCCTCCATGCTACCTTGACTAAAATCACAACTCATGCCATAAAATGAAGAGTGTGAGAGTATTTGAAAAGATAAATAGATATTCAAGAGATCTTCCATTATTAATTCGACTAATGTTAGTTGATCTTTTATCTTGTACTTAATGATGTTAGAATATTCTTCTAAGATAGTTTTGGGTAACATCATGAAACAAGAAAAAAAGGAGATTGTCTTATATGAGTAAGAAATTAAATAATTACGAAAGCAAATATCCTTTATTCAAAGGAACTTATTGTATTCTCGCATGGACTACATAAAGATTATGATACCATATGTATAATGCCCCACACCACACTAACGAGGTGCGTAAGTTCTTTAACCACTTTTCAACTTGTGGAATCAACAAAATATAATAAATTCAAAACACATTAATAATTGTTACATATTGTAATCATAATTACAACACCATGAGATTCAAACGATAGAATCAAAACAAAATAGGATAATACCTTTAAAATAAATTTACTAGATTTGAGTCGGGTCCTTAGTT